TGTAACATAAAGCCTACCTTTGCTGATCTTCTAATATACTAATTGCCTGGTATTCGTTGATGTCCATAATTTAAGTCTTAGACCTGGCACAAGTCTGAAAATCAGATGCCTTGCTTAATAGGCTAAATGCTTGCTCTAGTTCAGTGACTCTAATACTGGAACCAGAGACAAACCAGCAACTAGCATTAAAAAAAAAAAAAAAAAAAAAAAAAAAAAAAAAAAAAAAAAAGTCGAGAAATAGGCTGCCATCGCTGACCATTTCCACTAAAAATGTTAGTTGCCTAGCTGTTATGCTGATCCTCCGGCTTCAGTAGGTAAGAGCCCCTGACCCAGAGGAAGTATGCAGAAAAGAACTTCTAACTTTCCTGATCTGCATGCATGGTTCGAGTCAGTGACCTTACAGTGTTGAAGAACATTTGTTAGAAGGTCAGCAATGGTAAACCTTTATAGTTTTTAAGACAGGATTGCTCTAAAGAACACAACTTACCATACAGGCTTTAATGCTGAATTTATGGGGGAGAAAATGTTCTATGCATAATTTGAAATTATTATATTGCTTCTTTAAAAGGTCGTATTACCTTGTGAATAAAATGGTTAATTCTTACCCTTCCTTTACTGCTGATATTTTACTGCCTTCAAGCTCTAAATTGACATCTTCATTGAATACACTTTTAGGTGAGTTATATGCTGGTGCCTTTACTGCCCTGCGGTCCTTTCTGCTAGCCCCTATGTCACTGTGGTGTCCTGCAGTGACTTAGGGGATGCCAAAAGGAACTACAGAGGGGGATCAGGTACTCAGAAATGTCAGTTACTGAAGATGTTTTAGCCAGAGTTCAGTATTAATCATTTTCTTAGCAGGGAAGTCGTTTGTTTTTTTTTTTTTTCATGTAGCAAAAAGTCACTTGAAGGGCTATACTCTCTTGCTACTGAGAGATTTAAGCACTTGTTGGCCACATCACTGGGGGAGAAATTACACAGGAGACTTTTAATATATGATGTAGATTAAAGTCCCACAACTTCTGAGCTTTGCAGTGAAGTCCACCTAGTGCAGCTTCCGATGATAGTGTGGCGTGATGCTGCACTGATCCTGAATTCAGAGCAGAGTTGCCACTCTCTTGTAGGCTATGCCTGCTTTGACTATAGTGGGATGAAAAATATTGAAGGGGGCATGGCCATCCGTATTGCCACTGCTGATTCAGAAGCCTGTAGTTTGTCAAGCAGAACTTGGTCACCCCTAGTCCTGCTTACTGTCTTGACAGCACTGGCTCTGTTGTTGAAACCCTTTCATCATAATCTGCCGTGTCTGGAGAAGGGAGCAAGAAACAAATGGAGGATTGCGGTGGTAGTCAGGGATGGTAAAGAAAGTCTTTTTTTTACTTAATTGGCATCACATAGTAACTCGACTTGGGACTTGTTCAAACTATCATACGTGAGCTTTTAGTTCAGCCTTTCTTAACTATTGCTTCTCCAGAGGTTGTGTGGGGTTTCTTGAGCAAAGATCTACTTCTCAGATATGTAATCCACTGACAGAAATCAGCAATGATCTTTTCAGCTACCTGTAAAGTGGGCTCTTACTACTGAGTCCTAGTCTAAGGAACATTCTTCTCCACAACCACCAGTGTTCAAGAATAAGTTCATCTTTGGAACATGTTCCAGCTCCTGCCCCCTTCCTGAGCCTTACCCCACCCTCTGTCACATTTAAAATCGGTGTGACCTTGCAGGGCTCCACCTGTACATTCACGTCATTCATGAACAGGCTTGTAGTTCTCAAAGGAATACGAGCGTGCTGGTTAGCACACTCGTAGTCTATTCACTCTTCCTGCAGCTTAGTAATGGAAATCCCAAACGTGTACCGGCACAAAGCTGAAGGGAGAGTGTGCAGGAGCCTGACACTACACCCATGATCTGTTTATTGTGGGTGCAATCCTCTGCAGGCTTCCGAAAGAAAAAATAATTAATGCAAATTTTCTTTTGCAAAAATATGAGCATTTATTTTTTCCTAAAAGGTGAACTTATCCTTTGTCATATGGAGTGGAAGTCAAATTCACAAAGTATGCCAGATTCTTAATTTATTTACCTTGCTGTTCAAGCTAATGTACCAAAAACTGTAAACATTGTAATTATTGGGCTCACTGAGACCTGAAAGATTAAAATGACCCATGTAGCTCTAGTCAAAATGTCCCCTTTACTGGGGTAATGTGTGGGCTATCAATGCTCAGTGCTCCTTTTAAAAATGCTTATTTCCTAGTTCTCCAATACCTTCATTATTTTCCAAGTTACTGACCTGAACAAGTGTGCAGATTAGGAGTTCTGACTTCACTTGTTGCATACTTGTTCTGTCAGTACCTCAAGGCCAGAGACACCCCAGTCTACTATTTTCAGAAGTTCAGCACTATCTGATTCCATATTCTTTTCAGTAGAGGATTATTTTAATTTAGAGTACCTCAGCACTTTACTGCAGTGCGCTATGGATGATGATGTTCACACCTAGGTGGTAGTGACTCCTAGGCTTTGCAGCATTCAAATCACGGGCAACAAAGAGACCACTGCAGGGCGAGCTACCAATCACACCAAAGTACTTTTACTCTCCAAATGCACACCTTTTAATGTCTTGTGAAAGGTAAACTGACATATCACACATCCTTCCTTCTTTAGAATGGACCAGTCCTATAGTGAATTCCTTCATAATTCCTACAGTGTGCATACAACCTTAAGTCTACCAGTGTTGTATAGCATGTCCTCACTGGGTGCTGTGGTTCCTCCCACTAGCCACTAAATCACTGCAGGACATAGTAGGAGTGTAACAGATTGCAGGAGAAATCACAGCTTCCTGTGGGGAAACGGGTAGTGGCAGCGCCCATATCTCTGATCAGCAAATATTGAAGTTACCTCCCATTTACAGGGTAGCTGTATTTTTATTATGTTATAATGGTAAAAGATTAACTTTATAACCATTTTGACAGCAATTTTGCATTGTTTTAAACATAAATGAAGTTTGTTTTTCTAAGCCAAGATTTTCAGGGATATAGAGGGCATTGCTGTACTAGTAAAAGGGAATAGTTCCTCAATTTTGGGATTTCTCTAAAGTGCCTGTCTTCATCTATGATAAATGAGGCAGTACGTACCAAGGTACAACTAACTGTATTGTGCAGTCTGTGTACCAAATATTGAATAGAATGATAAAAAATGAAGTTCATTTTAAAGTGGCTCTCAATGATATATCTAGCATAAACTGACATTTACTGTACGTTTAAACAGAATATAAACATATTGTGCGTTGTTAATTTGGAGGTATCAGGACTGTAAATCATACATTCAAAATACACACTACCTCAATCTAAGGGTAGTTCAATGAGTTCTGTGAGCCATTAATATTTGGATACATTGCATTACTGTTTCTGTATGATGGTTCCATGATGTTCCTGGGTTTGTATTCAGACTCCCAGCCTTCCTTGTGTTGTAGAATGTCTTCCTGGCTAAGATGTTTCTCCTGTTATAAAAAAAAGTAAATGATTTTTAAGTAAAGATCCTTATATAGATTTCAATAAAGGCCTTAAATCAGGGAAGCAGGCTAGATTTGCTGATGGCATTTGTCAGGAAATTCAGAAGGGGCTAGGTGTATTAAAGGTATTTGTCAGGATTTATCCTATTACATTTCTAGACTGCATTTTCTTTGCTTTGATAACAGCAGAGTTAAAGTGTTACTAAACCCAGGACCCTGCATTCACTCTATCTGGTCTCTCACAATACACAGAACATGGAAATGCAATTTTTTTTTTAGTAAATATAAACCGCTAAATACCTTTTCTCATCAGCAGATAGAGCAATCTTGTGACTTCTATCAGTGTCCAGCCGAGCACTGGTTAAAGCTTGTAAGAGGAGTTTTCTCTAGGGGGATGTAGAACCCCTGACCTCTGTCTGGGCAGTGTTGATTGGCCCTGTGCTGATCACATGAACTCCCAAGAAAAAAAAAACCTCTCTAGCAATAAACACCAAACTGAGCATGTGCAGTGTCTCTACACAATATATCTTATCAGGAGAAAAGAGGATCAGAGAAGTCAGGATCAAACTGCATTTTTACACAATGCAGAGGATTAACCCTTTAGGTTCCACAGTGAGTATAACAAGCATGCTTTATTGCATATACAGACTGATTTTACAAGTGTGGATTTAGTAACACATTAACCAGTTACACAGGTAAGAAGAAACATTTTTCTGGTGAATCCTGTATTTTTCTTTTGTTGCTGAATAAGTTGTACTGAAGATTGCATGTAATAGTCATTTTTTTTTTTTTTGTCATTGAACTTTATACTGTAGTCTGAATGGGTTCTGCCTGCACAGTATGGATGTCATCTTTCAAGTAGGGCAGGCCATATAAACGGCTGAAGAAAAAAAATCCAATGGCTAGTACACACAATGAAAAAATCTTATGGAAAAAAACCTGCAATCAAAGCCATAGTCCGATAATCTATTTGTTAGTACACAGCTTTTGAGAGCCGATCAGGACCATTCATGCGAAAGTATCTTAAGGGACAAGCACAAACATTTTTCTTGCAACGTAACAGAACAAATGATTTTCATGTAATTGGTAAAGTATCTGTATGAAAAAAGTTACATGGGTTGAATTCCGAAGCAATTTTCTTTAGAAATTTGGAGATTTTGTGCATTTTGTAATCTGATGTTGCCACCATTGATTTTGAAGTTCGACCAGCCTACCCTTTAATTTCACCTCATGTTGCTACAGAAAAGAATTTTTGTGGCCAAGAATTTTCGTTTCTTTCCAGGTCACATCTCATGCTCATTTCTTTTTCAGTTTATATTTCTCGCACGATTCTTCCATCATTGATTAGAAATTCGTTGATTTTTCAAAAATTTTCCAACTTGTCTGATCACTCAAATTCGATGGTCGCTCGAAAACTGGCTGTTGCTGTGGCCCACTAATGGTGTGAAATTCAAACAAAAATTCTTTGGGAATTCGCCTCCTGTATGGCCGGCTTAAGACCTTGCATGCTTGGAAAAAAATAATATAACTATATACTGTCAAAAGTATTGGGACACCCCTCCAAATCCTTGCAATCAGGTCTTCCAATCACCTCCATGAGGTATAAAATCAAGCACCTAGGCATGCAGACTGCTTCTACAAACATTTGTGAAAGAAAGGATCGCTCTCAGCAGCTCAGTGAATTCAAGTGTAGTACCGTGATAGGTTGCCACCAGTGCAATAAGTCCATCCATGAAATTTCCTTGCTACTAAATATTCCACGCTCAACTGTTAGTGGTATTATAACAAAGTGGAAGCAACTGGGAACAACAGCAACTCAGCCATGAAGTGGTAGGCCAGACAGGGTGGGGTCAGCACATGCTGAAGTGCACAGTGCGCAGAAGTCACCAACTGTCTGCAGAGACAATAGCTAAAGACCTCCAAACTTTGTGTGACCTTCATATTAGCACAACAGTGTGTAGACAGCTTCATGGAATGGGTTTCCATGGCCGAGCAACTGCATCCAAGCCTTACATCTCCAAGTGCAATGCAAAGCGTCAGATGTAATGGTGTAAAGCACACCGCCACTGGACTCTAGAGCAGTGGGACAAGTTCTCTGAAGTGACAAATCACACTTCTCTGTCTGGCAATCTGATGGACATGTCTGGTTTGAGTGGTTGCCAGGAGATCTGTACTTTCCTGACTGCACTGTGCCAAGTATAAAGTTTGGTGGAGGGGGGATTGTGGTGTGGGGTTGTATTTCAGGGGTTGGGCTTGGCCCCTTAGTTCCAGTGAAGGGAACTCTTAAGGAGTCAGCATACCAAGATATTTTGGACAATTACATACTCCCAACTTTGTGGGAACAGTTTGGGGATGGCCCCTTCCTGTTCCAACATGACTGTGCACCAGTGTACAAATGGATGAGTGAGTTTGGGGTGGGGGGAACTTGACTGGCTTGCACCTCAACCCGATGGAACATCTTTGGGATGAATTAGAGTGGAGACTGCAAGCCAGGCCTTCTTGTCCGACATCAGTGCTTGACCTCACAAATGCGCTTTGCGTGGATCAACTCAATATTGAACTCTACAGACTAAGGATGCCATTAACGTTCATGTGCATGTATAGGCAGGCATTCCCAATACTTTTGGCATTATAGTGTACAACAATACATTATTTCACTTCTGAAGTTGTATTCTGTCTTACGAGAATTTTTATAACTTTAGTAGCCTATTCGTTTTCGATATGAGACTAGCATGCAAAAAAGAAAAAACTGACGATCATTTGGGTAAGTACCAGCATGAGGAATGCAAAGGGAGTTGAGGCAAGTGCTGGGAGCTGGAAACAGGCGCTCCATAGCAAAGCTCTTGCTAGCTGCTACATCAGGCAGTTGTGTGCCAAGAAGAAGGCAGCCTGTCCAACTTTGCAGCTAGTATAACGGCATCAAGAAATATGGGACAAAGTACTACATGTACTTTCCCTTTCACTGAAGACTTACTATTGTGAGTGGTTGTTAGGTTCTTTGTTGTGTTGACAATATTTTCATTTTATTTGTATGCATGTGCTTTTCCTACAGAAGGTGCTTTAAAGTTATTGTAAAGGAACACTTTTTTATTTTGAAAATAACAAACATGAAAATGGTTTTGCACAGGGCAGCCCTGAATTTCCTCTTCTGGGTTCCCCCGCTATCTCTCCTTGCTCCTCCCCCCTTATGAGTGCCCTCATAGCCACTTGCAATGGGGGCACTCCTGGGTGCTCGATCTTGAGCTGGGCTCTGAGAGTCCCCACTCCCTCCTCACAGGCTGTGATTGACAGCAGCAAGTGCTGGTGGCTCCCGCTTCTGCCCGCATATCCAGTGAGGAGAGAGAGCAGAGAGAGTTGCTGCTCTCGGGCACCGCACTAGATCGAAGTCAGGCTCAGGTAAGTGTAGGGGGGTGTTTGGGGGGGAGCTGATTTTTACCTTAATGTGTAGACTATGCATTTAAGGTAGAAAAGTTTCTGCTTTTAGAACCACTTGGGCAGAATGTGAGGGAAAGACTAATATATTCATTGTTCATTGAGGAATTTAGAAACAGTCTGGTTATACTGCCACCTACAGGAGGTTGGGACATTACCAAACAATTATAAACTACCCCCTCCTTTGGCCAGCATGTTTCAGTTTTTTGCTACTGTCCAAGGAGGTTGGGCAGTTTTCTGCAGTTTTACACTTTTTTTTCCAGCCTTTTATTTTGGTGGTATTTCTTAGTGATTTTAGTCAAGATTCTCTTTATGCCACTAATTTCATTTATTTTTTTTTACCTTTTTGCTCAGTGATCTAAATTAAGATTTACATGTTGCTGCTATGCTATATTTATATAGCAGCTATCCAGATCAGTGTATCGATAGCTATAACTTTGAAGGCCGTGGCTGGACCCTGCTTGCTGGACTGGGCGATTGTGGGGCTAGCCTGGAATGGGACCTTTGGGCATCATGCACTGCATTGTGGTGCCTAAGTGTACTGTGTTGGTTAGCTACTAAGTGCTTTCCTGCTCTTGAGCTGTGGCACAGCCAGTGGTGTGGCCCTGTCTCTGAAGACTCATTAAGTGAATAAAGTCAGTCAGGGTGAGGCACCGGGAGCTAGCATACCATTGCATTATTTGGACGCATTTTAGAATTTTCAGCCGCTACTAGTTTTACTGCGGTAAAGGCTGAGGCACCAAGCGTTGATGTTTTCAGTTAGGTAGAGTGCTCCGCACTCTTTTCCACCTTTCAGCCTGAAGGAAGTGCAATCACCCTGCTGCTCCTGCTCTTGCAGGATCACATTGCACCATCTGGTCTCATTGCACTGCACATCTACAATAACCTCTCGATCCAGTGATGTCCCATCTGCGGCAGCTCCTCTCCCACAGGCTTGGCTGAGAGCAGTGTGAGCCATTAGCTCCTGCTGTTGTCAGTCAAATCCTGGGGGGTGGGGCTGAGCTGTACTGTGTCTATAGATGCACACAGTCCATCCACACATATGCGTTGGGAACAGACACAGAGAGGAGAGCAGAGTGAGCAGAGGCCCCAGAAAAGGTGCTTTGAACAAGCAGGTTTATATAACATGGCATTTTAATTAGTTCACTTTAACCACCCTATAGTGTCTAATGTGAATGCCCGCCGCCTACCTCCCACTATTGGTGGCTAGAGATCGCCGCCATGGGTACTACTATTTGGCGATTCGGGGAAAGCTGAAGGGGAACCTGTGTAAACAACACAGGTCTCTCCTCTGTCAGTATGGACATGCTGTTTTGTATCTTTCAGTATGTCTCCCTGTAAAAACCAATTAACAATACACAGTCAACCCTTTGGGCCTTTTTTTTTTAGCAAAGACATGCAGTGTAGATGTCATATAGTTCCCACCCAGTTCAGAATGCCCGCCGCAGTCCCCTAAATTTATAGTATTAAAGAAATTTGACGCTATACCTTTTTTTTTTATTGGATTTTTTTTTAGCAAAAAATAGAAAAAATACTGCTGATTTTTTTTTTTTTTTTTTTTATAGCAAAAATAAAAAATTGCCAGTTTTTTTTTTTTTTTTTTTTTTTTTTTCAAAATTGCCTCTTTTTGTTTATAGTGCAAAAAAATTAAAAAAAGCAGAGGTTATCAAACACCACCAAAAGAAGCTCTATTTGTTGGGAAAAAAATTACATACATTTAATTTATGTACAGCATTGCACGACCGTGCAATTGTCAGTTAAAGTAGCGCAGCGCCGTATCGCACAAAAAATGGCCTGGTCAGGAAGGGGCATAAATCCTCTGGAGGGAAAGTGGTTAACAAACTGCAGTGCTTAGAAACTGACAGTCTTCATGCAATTGTCAATTAAGGAGCTTTATACTGATCAATAGTAAAGCAGTGCCAGGTTGTATGGTGATGTCTATCTAGTCCATAGCTCTGGTTACACAATTATCTGAGCAGCTGTGTTTGTAGAAGCTCAGGACATTCAAAAACTCACCTTCACTATATTGTTCTGTAGATTATCTACCAGGTTTGTCTGTTTCATCTTGTTTGTTTCCATCGTCTCCAGTTTCATCTCTACCGTTTCAACTTTTCTCATTATTCCACCAATGGACATTTCAAGTTGCTGAAGCCGTCTCAGAATTCTGGAATACAGGTTATACATAGGCTATTATATTCCTAAAGCCAACATTAATAAGTAACATATCTTTAGATGATATAAAAGTTGTTTATATAGTCAACTATGCTTTCTGAAATCTATTTTGTGCTGATCAGTTCCACTTACGCATGTATGTTGTGATAGATGACACATCAAGGAGCTTGGTGGTACTAGACAAACCTTGCATGTCTCATGCTAAGCTACATGGGGGTTGTACTTTGCCATCATGGGAACAAATGGGGGTCTGAACAATGCCAACATTTTTGTAGCTTATTTATAAATTTATTATTTCCCCCATGTTCATATGACACAGGGCAGAATAATCCCCATATGTGTGATCTTCAAAGGTTCTTCTATTTAAAAAGGTTTGCCCTGCTTCTCATCTGTCAACACACTTAAAACAGCAATAGGAAGGACTAGGGGCGGACTGACAACTCATGGTGCCCCCGGGCAATAGGGAATCATGGGGCCCCTGTGTCCTTGTCCAAACTCAAAAAAGCCTATGAAAAAGGTACCAGGGACATCTCAAGGGACCCCGTACTGACCCCGGGCCCTCAGGCAGTGCCCGAGTTTCCAAATGGTCAGTCCGCCCCTGGGAAGGACACTTTTTTTTTACAGAGATGCTCTTGCAGATTAGCTGTAAAACACAGGTCACTGTGATTTTTTTTTTCTAATATCTCTGGGTACCTAAACTTGAATATTTATTTTACTCAAACCACTCAATATTCAGTTCGAAAACATTTAGCCAATATCTTATCATTCCCTACTGGTGTAGGCCTGTGAGTGGTCTATACTTGTAACCTGCTTTAATATGATGATCAGATGAATGGATTTCCTCAGCTTTGGCAGCCATGTTTTCTTCGAATGTCTAGGTGACTGCAGAGGTCTACAATCCTCAAATGTCTACAAATCTTGGACTGCTATCAGAACAGAGAATGTATTATAAGGGCTAGCAGCTCAACTGAATGCATGCTCAATCATCATCAACTGGTGAAGTTTAATTGAGGAAGTATTCTGCTGCAACATGTTGAGAAAATAAACTAATTCAACTGTTTGTAACTAATAAAAGCAGTTGTCAAGTACTAATTTTATCATTTTTTTATTTCAGAAATTCTTAAAAATTTACTTGCAAAAAGTGCAAAAAATCCACTTCATGCTAGATGTTGGGGGGCACCCCCACTATGGGTTGGCTGATGTAGGTGCCTAGGAGCAGCCCACCTTGTGTTGAAGTGATATGGTCTCCGTTTTAAACACTGATTGCTTACAGAATGTTTGTGACTGTCCTGAGCACTACAGCAG